TCCATCCATCCATCCTTCCATCCATCCATCCATCCATCCATCCATCCATCCATCTAATCATCCATCATCCATCCAACCATCCACCCACCCACTCTTCCATCCATCCATCCATCCATCCATCCATCCATCCCTCCCTCCATCCCTCCATCCCTCCACCCACCTTCCCGTTCAGGGCGGCGGCCCCTGCGTCGGCCCTGTATTTCCTCATGGGGGCGATCATGCTCCACTGGTTTCTTTGTGGCTGGAATCTCTCTGCGCTGTTGAAGGTCTGGTGCTTGTCGCAGCCGCCCATGGCGTAGAGCAGGCCTCCCAGCGCCGCCACGCTAACGTAGCACCGCGCCACGTGCATGGAGCCCACCTCCTGCCACCGCCCGCTCTCCAGGTCCAACCTGCAGGGCAGATGCTACCGTTAGCATAGCATGCTATCACAGGATCTGTGTAGATCAGTGTTTTTCAACCACTGTGCCTCGGTAGTGATGGTCAGGTGTGCCGTTGAAAATCATCCTATTTCACCTAATTGGTCTAAAAATATTTTTTTGATAAGGACTGGACAACAAACAACAGATGCTCACGTTAGCATAGCATGCTATCACAGGATCTGTGTAGATCACTGATTGGCAGCAGCTGTTAATAGTGAGTCTGCAAACAATAGGAAACCTACACAGGTCCTGAACTGCCAAATCCAAAGGATATAATCAATGCTATTGTTAGAATTTGGCTATAATTACTCACTTTAGCATAGCATGCTATCACAGGATCTGTGTAGATCACTGATTGTTTTGTTTTCTCTTATAACTATATTGTGTGTTAAATTTTCTGTTTCTTAGTTTCATCTCGGTTTCACATCTGAGGACTTTTCCCAGTAGAGAAACAGGTCAGATTACAGAACTTCCTCAGTCAGATGTTAGGATTTGGCTATAATTACTCACGTTAGCATAGCATGCTATCACAGGATCTATGTAGATCAGTGTTTTTCAACCACTGTGCCTCGGTACACTAGTGTGCCGCAAGTGATGGTCAGGTGTGCCGTAGAAAATCATCCTATTTCACCTAATTGGTCCAAAAAGATTTTTTTGATAAGGATTGGACAACAAACAACAAATGCTCACGTTAGCATAGCATGCTATCACATGATCTATGTAGATCAGTGTTTTTCAACCACTGTGCCTCGGTAGTGATGGTCAGGTGTGCCGTAGAAAATCATCCTATTTCACCTAATTGGTCCAAAAAGATTTTTTTGATAAGGACTGGACAACAAACAACAAATGCTCACGTTAGCATAGCATGCTATCACAGGATCTGTGTAGATCACTGATTGTTTTGTTTTCTCCATCCATCCATCCATCCATTATCAATACCGCTTATTCCCTGATGGGGTCGGGGGGACTGGAGCCTATCCCAGTGGTCAACGGGCGAGAGGCAGGGGTCCCCCTGGACAGTCCGCCAGTCCATCGCAGGGACACACAGAGACACACAAGGACCAACAACCACACACACACACACTAAGGGCAGTTTGGAGTCCAACAACCTAACATGCAGGTTTTTGGAGGGTGGGAGGAAGCCGGAGAACCCGGAGAGAACCCACAGACACAGGAGAACATGCAGAACCACCCAGAAAGGTCCTGGTTCCCCCGGGATTCGAACCCAGAACCCTCTTGCTGGGAGGCGACAGTGCTAACCACCACACCACCGTGCCGCCCTGTTTTGTTTTCTTTTATAATTATATTGTGTGTTAAATTTTCTGTTTCTTAGTTTCATCTCGGTTTCACATCTGAGGACTTTTCCCAGTAGAGAAACAGGTCAGATTACAGAACTTCCTCAGTCAGATGTTAGGATTTGGCTATAATTACCCACGTTAGCATAGCATGCTATCACAGGATCTATGTAGATCACTGATTGGCAGCAGCTGTTAATAATGAGTCTGCAAACAATAAGAAACCTACACAGGTCCTGAACTGCCAAATCCAAAGGATATAATCAATGCTATTGTTAGAATTTGGTTATAATTAATCACGTTAGCATAGCATGCTATCACAGGATCTATGTAGCTCAGTGTTTTTCAACCCCTGTGCCTCGGTACACTAGTGTGCCGTTAGCGATGGTCAGGTGTGCCGTTGAAAATCATCCTATTTCACCTCATTGGTCTAAAAATATTTTTTTGATAAGGACTGGACAACAAACAGCAGATGCTCACGTTAGCATAGCATGCTATCACAGGATCTATGTAGATCACTGATTGTTTTGTTTTGTTTATTATTTGTATAATTTTTATGACTTTAATTAAATTTTAAATTTTAAATTTTAAATTTTAAATTTTAATAAAATAAAATAATACATTTTAATTATCTGCACCCTTCACTTTTCATCTGTTTAATTTTTATTATTTGTCAAATTTTTATTAATTTAATTTAATTTTAAATTTTAAAAGTCCAGGGGTTGTAGAGCATTTTAAATTTTAAATTTTAAAATTTAAAATTTAAAATTTTGCTTCTGTTTGACTGTGCAGATGGAAATTAAATGTATTCAATTTAAAATTTTGAAATTTAAAATTTTTAAATTTTTAAATTTAAAATTTCGAAATTTCAAAATTTCAAAATTTCAAAATTTTAAATTTTAAATTTAAAATGTAAAATTTTGAAATTTCAAAATATAATAAAATAAAATAATAAATCTTAATTATGTGCACCTTTCACTTTTCATCTGTCTAATTTTTATCATTTGCCAGACCGAAATACTTTAACTTTGACCCAAAAAATGTATATTTTTTTTAGTCCTTTAACTAACCGGTGCACGCTGCTCAGGTAGTTGTCCTTCAGGCACCCCCCCACGCAGTAGAGCGCCCCCCCCAGGCTCAGGCAGCCGCAGAACTCGGGCACGGGGCCGCGGGGGGCCGGGGACCAGCGGTCCGTGCGGGGGTTGTAGAGCTCCATCCGGCCCCCGTTGCTCTCGTCCTCGTTGCCGT